GCAGATACATAACGGACAAGAAAATACAACTTCGCGACTCACATAATGCTAATCTATTGCGTTCCCTAGACAATTCAGTCAAGCTTGAAATTAATCCCAAATGTATAAAATATAAAAATACTTTGAAAATTCACAAATACTGAAACACTAAAAAATCATAAACACACAAACTAACAACAGCTTACATACAGCATTTCATAAAACACCATTCATACATGTGCGAGTATGTGAACATGTCATGTGCAATTTAAATTTCGCTCGAGAATTTCTAGGTGTCGTAACGAAATTGTTTAAATTGTGTTTTCTATATGTTGCTATATGTTCGGCCATTTATTCCACGAGTTGGCAGAGAATGCCGTAACCATATCGTTCCCCCACGACCTTTTACTTCTTTACTGCAAACGGAACTGTCGAAGGGATGTTTTCTCTGCGCAGAAAGTTTGTAAACGGCCATCATAAAGTTTGTGAGGGTATTAACAGAAATATTGTTTACCAGTAAATATGAACGTCGGGCATATTGATTCCGGTCGTAGGAGCCACGCTACATTGCTCGCGCCATACTTCCGCTGTATTTACACAGGGAGGCCTGTACAATTTTTTATGTCGCGATCTCTTTGCACTCTGCCCCTCTGGCTTTTATTATCATTTTTCCAGAACTCTCCCTTCTTCTTCTCTCTTTTCTCTCGGTCTTAGGTTTTTATTGAGTGAAGATTTATCCGAGTCCCCTTGATACGCATCCCTTCCTTGGATACAAGTATTTCGCCCTCCCCTTCTTTTATGCCCTTTTTATTTTATTTTATGTACATTTGTCGGGACCCTTTTTCTCCCACAGAGACTTTTCCCTTTTTATTTATCTTTCAACTAAGCGAAGATGAATTACTTTGTTATGCGGGCAAACAGCAAAAAGCCAACTCTAAATCACCCTCCTAAGAATTATTTTGGATTAGCTGATTGCTTTTTTCTTTAAAGAAAGTAAAAATCACATTCGAAATTTAATATTTCTTTCCATCTTAATACTTATCTTCATCATTTGGGATACGTAATAGGGAAATATGAAATAATATAAAGTTTGTCCCGTGAACAGACGCCAATACTTCAGGAGGGTCTAAGTGCCAAACTGGGCTAAAAAGCCCATAGTGTTCACAATTTGATTCTCAACCGTATTCGAGATATTTTCCTTTTCAGGTTACTCCAAGCTTTCATAACTTAATCCCATAAAGTTCCTCGTATCTCATAAAATTGGTAATTCTACTGTAAATTTGATTACACTAACGGAAAAAGCTAAAAAACCCGATGAAGTTCCATAGTTTTTTTATGTTCCATCAAGCAAACAAAATACAGAAATCACTAATTAAACATCAAGTAAGATGTTCTTGGTTCTGTAAATATTGGCAGCTATGGCGCTTACGGAATGGTTGCGCTTAGTGATGAATGAATGAAATGAGGAATTTAATTTCTAAAGGTAGTTATAACCAATGTAAAATCTACGTTTAATTGCAAAACACCACAAATTTTGTGGTTTGCAATGGCTAAAAAAATTAACCACCAAGATTTTCAAATGTCTATTATAAATAATAATATTAATACAAAATAAACATACAGATATTTTGGTATAAAATTGAACATAAGAAAAATCGAAAAGCGACTAAAAATTAAATTAAATGTTAAGTATATCCACCCTTTTTGAGAATGCATGCCAAAGAAGGTGAATATTATGAACATTTAATTTAATTTTTAGAAGAGTTTTTGTTTTTTGTAATGCTCAATTTTGTACTAAAGATAGATTTTCGTTATCCAATGATTTTCCCATTCAAAGAGAGAAAGGGAGAGAGAGAGAGAGAGAGAGAGAGAGAGAAAGAGAAAGAGAGAGACAGAGAGAGAGAGAGAGAGAGAGAGAGAGAGAGATTTTTATTTATGAGTAACTTCCTTTTACTAAACTTTGCAATTTCACTTGTTGGTATCAGGTTGCTCACATGTTACCGAAACATGAGATTAAAAGAAAAACCAGTATTAACTGCTCTACATCACCTCCCTGGTCTCTTTTAATATTAATTTTTTAATGTAACACGTTATATTATAAACCGTATTGCTGGTGTAATGTTTCTTATTTCTTCCTTAAAATGGAACTTTCGACAATCTTGTAATTTGATCAATAAATGACTTTGAGTTAGACATTATATACGTTTTTCTCGTATAACGCATGTGTCCCAACCCGGGCTATGTATGTCGGTTAATACTCGGTGTTAATTGAAGCAGATGGCGGATCAGTTAGTTTGCCACCTATGTATACTTACCTCGCATACAAAATGAGTCAGTGTGAATATATTAGGAAGCCCCTCGCCGCCCGCGACTCTCAGCATCTCTGTCAAACTCGGTTCTCCTTTAAGTGTTTAATTACTTAACGTATACTCCCGTGTTCTTTCAATTAATTAGTTTGTAAGACGGCTGTAAGAGGACGTGGTCGGGTTGGGGAACAAATAAATTAAATTATACTTTAAACTTTAGTCCAACCCCCTCTGGCGCGGGAAACATTTTACGCATCTTACTTCCTGTTAAAAATATTTTTGAAGTGTCTACACTGCATCGAATGGCCTTCTTGTTTAAGAAATTTTAATCTCTTAATCATAAATTGTTAAAACGTACAATCGAATTTATTGTTAACAAAAAGAACATTTTATCTATAACTAAGTGATAGAGAAACTTTTTTAAGTTCACAAAATATAGATCCAATCTGCTGATTCTCTATATAAATAGTTGTAAATAAATAAAATAAATAAGAAAAAATCAACAAATCTCTCTTTCTCTATAATTCTTTTTTGATCAAACTATTTATCCCTTTCTCTGTTGTAGTATAGTGATCCACAAGTCCTAACTAAAAAAATTCTCTCTCTCTCTCTCTCTCTCTCACTTTCTTTCTTATAAAACTTTTATTCTTTTATATATATGTTTGTAAAATACTTAAATTGAAAAGAACAAAAATATCTGCTAAAAAGGAAAATATACAACGAACGTCAAGTCGAAGAAAAGTACATTAGATCTAACTTGGCGTGATTAAATAAAACGCTTAATCACTCTCTCTCTCTCTCTCCCTCTCTCTCTCTCTCTCTCTCTCTAAAACTCTCTTTCTCTTTCTCCCCCTCTCTCTCTCATACCCATCTCATCTAGTTCTCTTTTTCTTCGTTAAGTGTCAGAAATATATACCAGTTCACGAAACTGCTAAATAATTCATATCGATCAATCAGTTTCTCTATCTCTTCTTCTCTCTTTCTATGTAACTCCACTTCTCTCTCTCTTCTTCTTCTCCTCCCTCTTCCTCCATTAATATTCTGGTTTAGTAGGACAATTGAGCATTGTTAAACCCGTAGGAAATAATGAATATTTAACATAATTTAATAAAAATAAGTTATTGTTTTATTACACGAGGGCGTCGATGGATGCAACGGTTATGGTGAACATTTTTTTCAGTGTAACTAACAAAGTTTTGCTAGGACTATCCGGATTTCAGGCAAATGTTCTTCATAATTTTGAAGAATTATAAACACAATGGCTATATTGTGGTCAAAATTGTTTTACATTTTGAATCCTTTTAAATATTTCTATCACTCCAATAGTGAAATAATGATTCCCCACGTTAAAAAGCAACTCTTCGGCATACAGTAAATAAATGTAGTATAAATACCGATGAAGTGCAAGATTTTATAGCAAATTCATATAATTTTTATCACAGACCCAACCAAATAGTGAAACGCGACAGACCAACACGGCTACAATAGGCTGACCAAAATGATCAGAACGTCCAAATTGCATAGATTTTATCTGGTTTTTTCAGATACTTACCCTCGCCCCTGTATATGACATATATACACATGCATTCATGCATGCATGTATGTATATACAAAAGAAATGTGGGCGTGTGAATATTTAATGTTTAAAAATGAAATAATATTGGTTCGTTTTGATTTCATTGTTTTTTCATAGCTTTTCTCATTACATAATTAAAATTGGATGAAAGTTCATAGTTAAATTGAAATATAAAATCTCATATGTTGGACCATTTCGTTAAAATATCAGTTTATGTTGGTTTCTCTTTTAATGTTTTTTTTTTTTGGGGGGGGGGTTGTGTTCCTAGTGCGGCGGTGGTCTTTAGATTCGCAATCAGGTTTATCGAAATCGAGATCTCACCAATAAAGTGTATAACGCTATCGATGCGTGGTTGAAAATAAAACGAACTGTTGGATAGCAGTTGGCGGGAGATGGTATCTTGTTCGGCCGACTGACTCCACCGGAAGTGTCCTCAGGTAATGGCTTTGCTCAGAGGATGAATTAAACATGAGCTGATTTAGTCACTGACAGTTGTCCGAGCAACGAGACGGTAGCCGGTGTTTTTATATAAAAAAAGTATAATATAATATATACACGGTGTTGCTAATATTTTCGCCCATTTCAAGAGATTCGGGCAAACACTTAAACATTTCTAATTTCAAGACCTATGAATATCACTAGAAAATGATTTTCACCCTGAAAAAAGATTTCTTTGTGAATGGAAATCGTACAAAGAGGGACAATTTACATTGGTTTTCATTGTCAATATTATTATATACAATTATCCTTGTTTGTGAGATTTAATCGTCTTCCGGATAAGTTGTTTGCAACTGTTTATTTTTAGTGATATGGTCATAGCCAGTTGCTTTTAATGAATTTCTAAGTGTATAGAACTTTACCAAAGCAAAATCGTAATTTCAAGCCTCTTTGGGTCTGTGGGTTGATGAACCTGTAGTTTGATCGTTTCCGGTAATTTTAGTCAATCAATGCTCTTGCTGCTTTGATCTGTCAGAAAGTTTTCCGCTCCTCGACATCTTTTAATTGATAGTCTAGCCTCATTTGTCACATTAAATAATATTATCTTATGGGATATTTTAAAGATGTATTACGTTTAATTCAAACACACTACTTAAGATAGCGAAAAGATTTTATTTTTAAATTTTGATTTTTTTTTCCAGATAAGCGGCTGAGAGACCAAACCATAGATAGCAGGCAGACCAAGTGAGTACTCTTTCGAAGAAAGTATTATTATATATAAATATGCATGTTTTACTTCTACAAAGTATTTTCATTAAGCAGTGAAAAATTCTTAGTGAACAACATTATTGAAATGTTAACTGGTCGTTTAAGCAACATACCCATAAAGTGTAAAAGGTTTTTGAGAAAATTCAAATTACACATTTGCCGATTTATCAATAGAAACTATCATCATTGATTATATATTACATTGACATTATTATATTACTAATTTTATTACTGCGATAATCATATTCTCATATAGTTCAAAGGTAAAGGTTAGGAGACAGAGAACGTCGTTTAAACTTTCTGTGGAATATCGTTCCATGTTTTATTGTTTCGGTTTTGTTTTGAGTATAGGTAACATGTCAAATTTCACCTTATTGCTAGGTACCGAAAAAATATCCTGGGGTATAGTTTTTGCTCTCTATTTAGAACCGTGGGACGAGTGAAATTTATATATTAAAATACCAAAAAGAAAATGAACCAATTAGAAAACACTATAAAGTTCGAATTTCTATGCAAAGGATTTTGCATTAAAAATATAAATCATATACAGAAATGTGCCATTCGATACAAAATCTCATAAATCTTTGAGAATGGCAATGAATCTTACCTTCAATTTGGTGATTTCAGGACTTAATTACTATCCTCTTATCAAGGCCGGAGAAAGTTGAGCGCACTTATGCATAAAACATAAGCCGTCCGACGACTCTTATTAATATATGACGGATCATTTACCCCTATATTAGTATGTTCATGGTCAAACTTCCGGTGGCCCAAAACCGCTGTAGACCATCGCGGATGGTAGTGCGCGACACATCTATGACTTAGGCTATGTAACGAACGCAACGTCCGTCCTTGGCCTAAGCATCTGCCCGAACGTGATCTCAACTTCAAAATTTGCTTTGATGAAAAAAAAAACAACTCAAATTTATTGTTTCATCAAAGAAAATAATTTAAAAAACTAATTAACTTACGAAAAGTTTGCTCTGGAAAAGATGACATTGAAGGGAATTTATTTATTTTTAATGTGAAGAGTACAAATGGACTGATTTGTACATTTGTAACAGCGTAACACTCTACAGATAAACAACAAGTTATATTTGTTGTTCTTTCAGTTTACACCAACCTTTATACCTACCTATTGGGGAAAAGAAACAAGGGCCGGTTTTTTTTTGTCTTTGAGTATATATGAATGAAGATATATATATATACATACATATATACAATTGTGAAATCCGTCGGAGTTGTGGTCACTGTTTGAGAAGTCATGTATAAGAAGATAAAATTAAATGAGAGATTTTTTCAATTTTTTCTTTTCACACTTGACCAATGATTTTTGATCTCAACGCTTAAGATTTTGACAAGGCGATTCGTCACTGTATCAAAGTATACTCAAACATTTGTTTTCTTCTTTTCGAAAAAATCCTTTGGTCGATATGACATTTGTTGTTGCGAACTTTGTAAAAAAAGCTAATAAATAAAATAATAAAAGCTAAGAAATAAGAAAGTAACGATTTTATTTTAATCATTAGGGTTTAGCTTTACTCAAAACTTCTTCAGAGTTAGGACTGAGTAAGAATGGTAGTTAGATAGCGAAAAATAAACGCACCGAGTCAAGAAAATGGTGTCCGGAAAAAAACTACTCTTTGGTAAATGACTGGACTCCGGGCCGCCGGTTGGCATTGACTGATGTACTCTGACGGTAGTGATTTATTTACCAACGTCCTTTCCTTACCCACCTGTTTTTCGCGGGACACCATTACTAAGGTTGACACCACGGACCGATTTATTCAACCAGCCTCTCATTATTGCTTTGTCCGTCATGGAATCCTCCCTTTCCAGCAGATCTTCCATTCACTCTTGGAACGGAATTCTCTCTGAATTCATGTTTGAAAAAACCAAGGAGGGTCGTTTGATGCTTATCCTAGCTGCACCATGCGAGACGTTTTTCTGCTTAACACATATTTTGTTAAATGTTTTATTTTCTGTATACTACTAGTTTTAAGTATTATTATTATAATTATTTTGATTTTAATTTATTATATACATATATGCAACTTATTAATGAAGCTAAAAAATTTAAACAAGTTCGTCTAGCGAATTTGTTGAGATCAAGGGATAAAGGGAATGGCTTAAAAAAAGTTATGTCTAAATTATAGAGGAAAAGGGGACGGTAACGGAGCCGTAATTTGGATATCTTAAAGGTACAAGTCCTTAATGAAGAAACGATTCTTTCAAGGGAACAGTTCATAAAAGGGGGGTAAGAAACAGAATCGTTAACGAGTCTACAAAAGGCTTCTTGACAAAACGTACAGTAAAAAAAAAAAAAAAATAAAATAAAACAAGACAGAAAGAAAAGCGGGAAGGAAAATGACCGTTGATTGGAGTGGTCGTGAAAAATAAAATATGTAGGTAACTTAAGAGAAGATAAGGTATCTTTTATTTCACCGACTGATGTTAACTTCTAAAAACAAGTCTCAGGTTGCACCCCCTGCCTCTCGTTACATTTGCAGCCGAAGTCATTATACTTTTAGATTTTTTATCCCAGTTCCGAATTAGCCGTGTTAAGGCTGAATATTTAAATGTCTCTAGAGTATAAAGGCCTTAGGAGCGTTTTTTCCCAAAGTTTCTGGAGCGATCATTACCATATTCGTCGTCTGTTTTTATATAATGGTCCTAACGCCGCCACCTCGAGCTTTCATCCTTTTGTAATGACGAACAAAGGCATCTTGAAAACGGCCAGAGCATTACCAATAAGCATAAGCATGAGGGTGAAAACATCACCTTCAAAAAAAAGGGGGAAGAACGATTTCAGACTCCCGGTGTAGGTTCTGTACCATGGAATTCAATTATTACTAATTATTTATAACTGCAGTACCAACGTAAATTGTTTGTTATTATTTAATTAAGGTTTTGGTTGAGATAAAAAGTCAGTGCCACAAGCGGGATTCGAACCCACGACCTTCGGCTAAATACTCCGCTGCTCTACCATTTGATTTATCGTGACTTCGATCCACTCGGACACCAACTTCCCATCTCAATCCCACCTTTTGAATTTTCCCTCCTTTTTGCCATTTCGATTCTAAATTGAAACTTTTCATACAAATCGATTACCTAGTTGGGTACATTATTAAATTTTTTTTAAACTTCATTCCATCTTCCATTTTAAATTATTACTTCATAGATTCCCACCATGAAATAATTTGCGCCTATTAATTATATTTTTATTTGAATTTATTATTTTTCATGAATCTTCATGTGAAAACGTTTTTTTCGTGGACCAGTGTCTGAGATGATTCCGAACAAGAACTTACGAACATACCAAACAACATTAAATTCACTAATTTCGTGGTCCGCTTGACCAATTAATATATTACAATTAATTAAAGTTTTAGTTGAGATAAAAAATCCCGCTCGTGCCATTTACTTTTTTATCTCAACTAAAAACCTTAATTAATTGTAATACCAAACAACATTTAATTATACATTACTGTATANTTATATATATAAATATATAATATCTTTACATAATTATCAGCAGTGTAAAATTAACGTTTAATTGCTATGAACGTGATTTTTCGGGTACAAATAGTTGAAATAATTTAGTCATTAATGATTTGAAGCTTCTAATAAAATTAATAAATTATCCAGCACCTCTGAATTCGCACCCGACATATTTACAAAAGTGATTTTTTCAAGACGCATTATTCAAGAAGGTGTACGTTTGGAACATTTAATTCAATTTTTAATATCTTTGGTTCTGTCAGTATTAACATCTAAGACACATCTAAGAAAATCTCACTTAAACCTTAGACAAGAACTATAGTTCACATACCAAGCAAGAGCGTTCACATGATCCATTCGGCAATAACTTATTTTTTAATGGCAGTTCGAAATTTTACAGATGTGTTCAGGTCCTACTGGCGAGACGGAGGATCCCTGATTAGTTCTATCGGTCTCCTTACCTTTCTGAACGAATGATTATTCGAATTGATTTGTCCAAACGTGGTACTGGACTATTGCAATTTCGGATCGCACTTGGCAAAGAAGAAATAATTTCTATACAAAATTCAGACTTTTTTAAAAAATAAAACAGATTTATTTGAAATGTATGGAGTTCTGAATAAATCGACCGGATGTATAGGCTCAGGAAATGTAGATTTGTGTTGTCCTTATGTAAGATATTTCAATTCGTGTTCTGGTGACATGTGTCAGTCTGGTCGCATTTCGGCATTAATGAGCCTATTGTTTTTCAAATGCTAAGCCCGTGCCGTAGCATTCGTTACCCTGGAAGGAATTACGTTATCCTAGTCTCTCTTTTTTCCTTATCCTTTCTTCTTTATTTTTAACAAAAAGAGCGACGTCTCCCAGCTCGCTCCCCCGAGATAGGGTGTAAAAAAGTGTAAAGTGGGCCTTAATTCGTAGGTAACGCCAACGGGACTCGCTCCGGCAAAGAGTTTATGCACGGCAATTCCAGTCGTTGTATTAAAAGGAGGCAATTCCCTCTCAGGGCCGCGATTAAATTGGGAACGATTTGGCCGGAAAGCCGGGGCGGTTGAGAAATATGGCCGAAGCTTATTACACCCTAAACCTAAACGCTACTTTTCCAATCCGCTGCAACGACTTCATAATTCATTTAAATTTACCCTTATGGTAAATACCGTGACATTTCAACGTTTGAATTTAGTCCACAACACGCATCCCCTTTACCAACACCTCAATATTTGGTAAATTGTAAGATTTCAACAAGAGGGTGATGAACCTGTAGTTTGAACTTTTTCAATCTGTCAGACATATCGACATTTCACGATATTCAGTAATGAGCTTGTGCGATTGTATATTCTATCTGTGCTCATTATTGGAAACGACCAAGCCATTTCCATGCGGTCGTCATGAAGCACCCACCGTATAAAGGTCTAGATTGTTTTCCTTTGTTAGACATTCATACAAATTTTTATACCTCTAATGGATGGTTTTAA